AATTTTAAGAACTGTTTAGCTTCAAAGAAATTACTGGGAAATACTATGGCCCAAACCCCAATCGGTGCTTTCCTTTTGTTCTGTATGCATCAAATGAGTTAGATATCAGATCTTTGTAAAACTTAAGTTTCAGCTTCTTGTAACTCTTGACCCCTTCGCACCCACTAGCGAAAACGAGCTGTCCTGGGATAATTAACTGTCCACTTTCTTCTCCAAATATTGCTGCAGATGTGCCACTCCGAGATAATGTCAGTCTGTAGGATGGGAGTAATTTGAGAAACACCAGGAACTCCTGAGATTGTCAGAGCTAAGAGGACAGCAATACAGTTTCCAGACTCGGGTCAACAAGTTTGATGGCTCTGCAGGTTTCTTTGTTTCTCTCCCCCCACCCTTTTCCTCCAGCCTCTTTTTAAAGTCCTCCCTTCAGTCTCTGGGACAGAGTCTCCAAATTGGCTCCGGAGACTCGTCACCAGGCCTGGAAATAAAGCCTTTGCTACCTAACTTTTCAGTCTCCTGCTTCCTTGAATTTTATACCGGGGCCCGAGTTATAACACTTATTACTTTATTGATTGTTCCAGTCCATGAACATTATATGTCCACTTACTGACAAGCCATATTTCAGTTTCTTATCAGCAGGTCCTAGCTGTTGTTATATAGATAGTTATATGCTGTTAAATATATTAGCAAAGCATTTAAACTATAAATCAATAAAAATGATATGTTAACAATTTTGATTTACAATTGTGATTTCTCTCTTCCTATCAGCCAAAGCAGGAGCTTTGAATGCTCTCCGTCAGTCCCACAGAAAAATTTTTTAAAAAACTGAAAATCAACATTTCTCTGCTTCTGCAGAGAACTAAGGTATATGGCAAAATTCTGGCCCAGATGAAGAGAAGGGCAGATGCAGACAGGGATGGCTTTGGAGAGCCCCAGGGCAGCAGCGTGATTCCCCCAGGAAGCAGTACCACTATGTTTGCTTGGGTCTCTGACATGCGCAAGGAAAATACCCAGGTGCGACACCCTTGAGCCTCTGGTCCGTCTTAAGGGCAAAACCAGAGTGAGCAGCAGCCTTGAAGGCCGCAGCCCCGCGCCCACTCTGACAGTCCGACAGCTGGTCAGGGAGGAGAGGCTGCTTCTCCTCCTCCTCCAGTGCCCACAGCCACCAGCGGAGGAGACAGAGGAGGGACTGCACTGCACACCGCAGGGGACAGGTCTCCGGGCAAAAGGAAAGGCGCTGCCACCAGAGTTTAAGGTCATGCCCCTCCCTTGCTGCTGCCCCAAGGAATGTGCAGACGGAAACTGCTGGAAGGAGAAGGCTTGCTCATTGCTAGCTTTGAGGCGGAGAGAGGGGACGAATCGCTCTGCCCTGCTCAGGTGTGGGAGGGCTTCATGGCCGGAGGGAAGGACACACGGAGACCGGGCCTGGGCGGCTGTATGCTGCCGCCTTCTCTGGAGCACACAGTGTCTGTTCCTCTGGCCCTCTAAATGCAGCAGTTCAGGCTGGCTTTTATGACCTGGCCATCAAAGCGCCCTGAGAACAGGGTCAGATCAAAGGGATACTGTACTGTCCCAGGCAGAGTGCTAATTCAAACAGCAGGAGAGGTAAAGAAACACCAGGGGGCGGGTAAGATGTTGGGATGCGCCTAGAGCGCTAAGGCTCTTCCTCGGGGAGAGACTCCTACCAGTATCTGCCAGGTTAACAGCGCCTCTTGCACCTCGGGGCTCAACACAGAAGCCGTACAGAAATAACCAGCATTTGGTGGTTGTTGGTGGTGCTTGGCTGGTTGGTACCGGGAGTGGAACTGATGACCTGGCAGGCAGACTCCGAGCTGCTGAGCTACATCCCCGGCCCCAGCCTCTGTTTTACACTCTTTTAAACCGATCTCCTTTAAAGGGTTACTGGGGCTGGGGTGCTGCAGCTCCTTCTGGAGGTGGTTTCCAGGCTATTTCTGTCCTGAACAAATAATCGGTCAAGGCAATGAAAAACGTAGTGAGGTTTTACACTCCCCAAAGGTAAGGACACAAAAGTGCTGGCAGGGCGATCTGGGCCAGTTCTACGGAGGAAAAGCAGCGCCCTCTACAGGCCCGGCGAGGATCCCGGCGAAGGAGAACACGGCGAGGGGCCCGGAGCTCCAGGGCCGCAGTCTGCGGGGTCCGCTCCCGCCCGCTGACCTCAGGCCTCCCAGGGCCGGCCCCTCGGCTGGCCAGCACACAGCCGGCCTCTTCGCGCTTCCACACCTGACTCTGCAGGCGCCGCTGCCAGCCGACCTCGTAACTCTGTACAGATTTGCACATCTTGCATGAAATCTGTTTTTCTGGCACGCGCGCCCGACTCAAGCCTTGGTGGAGCCCGGCAACTCCTCCTCCAGCTCACGGGGCGCTTTCTTCCTCTGGTGACCTCCACTTCCTCACGGCTTCCCGGGCGACGCCCTCTGTCTGAAGCTGTGTGCTCATCTGCTGGGCTGTGCACTGCCCTCACCCAGCCTGGCTAGGGATCACAGCAGGGCTCCTCTCCTCCGTCTCCCCTCCAGCTTGTGCCGAGAAGGATTTCTTTCTCTTCGATTCTCTGCAGGTTGACTTTGACGGGCCTAGACCCGTGCAGAAGTCTTGGGTTCTACAAGGCTTGGGGTTTTTGACCTTGCTGGATCTATGATTTCCTGACTATAGCAACCTCGGTAACCTCAGGCATTCCGGTTTCAAATGTGTCTTCTGTTCTTCCTTCCATTCTTCCCTGTTGGTATTCTCTGTATGCCGCATTGTACTGTCCGTTCACGGTTCATGTCCTGCGGCTCGTGCGCGTTCTGACCCACCCTTTCCTCTCCCCTGCCGACTCAGCGTGGGGATGTTCTCCCGACATTCCTCAGGCTCGCTCCCTGTTCCTTCAGCCTCAGCCTCGTCCTGACTGCAGTTTCCCGGGGCCCCACCAGAGGCACTGTTCCCGTCCATCCCCATGACCACTTCCTCCAAGAGGCTGACGAAATGACGGTCCATTCAGCCTGTGAACTCATCTAAGGACTAATCCACTTGATGAGGTCCGCCCTCACGCCCGGGTACCTGTCTCAGTCCCACCTCTGAAAACTGGTGCCTCAGGCATCGAGCTCTCAGGACACCAGTGTTTGGGGGAACACTTCACATATAAACCCTAACATTCCAGCACCGGCCCTCGAAGGCTTTTATCCATTCCACAGTGCAAAGTGGATTTAGTCCATCTGCACAGGCCTCTAAAGTCTCAACAATTTCAGCTTTACACAGAGTCCAGGTTCAGCTTCGCTTCTGAGCATCAAGGCATCTCCTAGTTTCAACACAGAAAAACATTTTTAAAAAGTTACCACAGGTGCATGACACAATGCCCGGTGGAGACATTGCCAGTCCCAAAGCGGGGAATAGGGAACAGAAAGGAATTGCACCAAAGCAAGACTAAAACCCAGTGGTACAAGCATGGACCCCATGACTGTTGCCCGTCTCCAAAGCACATGGTGCTGAAAGGTGAGCCCCACCCGGCCGTGGCTTTGCTGTTTGCAGCCCCCTGGCCTCTCCCTGGGGCCGGATTCACTGGACCCTGGATGCTTGTGGTTTTCCTCTGCAGATGTGTCACAGTCCTGGCATGTCCAGCTCCCCAGAGATTCCATCGTGCAGCTCTGCGCCTCAGTCTCACAACTTCAAACACTGCCCTCTCAGGGGCTCCCGGAAGTGTTTCCGCCCTGTCACATGTTGCCTGGCCTTCTGCGCCTTCCTTTGAAACCTCAGAAGCATCTCCAGGACCTTGTAACTCTGGATGAGATGCTGAATGTCTCCCAAAGGTTCATTTTCACAATGTTGGCCTCTAGTGTCTTAGCCATGTCCTTTGTCACTGGGACAAAATACCTGCTAGCAACCAGTTAAGGCTAGAAAGGTTTATTTTGGCCCACAGCATGTAGAGGTCTCAGTCCATAGCCAGCAGGCACCAAGGCAGGGCCGCTCGCAGAGAACAGCTTCTCGAGGCTTGGTGGACAGAAAGCAGAGACATCAAGAGAGGAGCTGGGGAGGGAGGGAGGGAGGGAAAGCTTCCTGGACCCCACCTCTTCCACCGGGACCCCACCTTGAAACAGCAAGTGAGGACAACGCTGCTCAAAGCCCTACCTCTGAGTGCTCGAGGGTCCTGGAGGACATGTGGGTGTAAATGGTGACATCCAAGGGGGCGCTCTGGGAGGTGGAGCCCAGTGAGCAGTCGGTAGGTCCTTAGACAACAGGAAGCTTGGCCCTGATGGGACTGTGGGAGCCCAGCCCAATATGCGTCTTGCTCTTCCTCCAGGCTTGCATTGTCCATGCTTTGCTCGGCCACCCCCGGGGCCTGATGAGCCCCGCTCCCGAGGCATGGAGACACAGAGTCCGCTGATCTTACACGGCACCCTCCAGAAGCATGAGCTGAGTAAACCTTGAAATCTTTCTTCTCACAAATGTAATTCTTTTGGAGATTTCAAGTGTAGCAACATGAAGATGGTTAATACAGCAACAAAATGCAATCCTAGGTTTTAAGAAATCACCTCAGGCAAAGACAGCATGTACCGGAAGGTCAATGGCCATTTAACCGAAAATGCTGGCCATTTCCCCTCCAGGGATCCACGACTGCCTCTGCTTCACAGCTAGGCTCATAGCAGAGCGTGCACTTTCTGGTGAAACTTTGTGGTTGAGCGACTCGTTCGGCACTTGTTTAAAAGCATCGTGACGGTGAAGGAAGCCCAAATCCAGACACGAGGGAGGATATGATTAAGCATTAGAGGACCCTCGGACTGAAAAGCGCCTGACCAGAGACCCTTTCAAACCCTCAGTGCGCGACCCATCCAGAAACAGAGGCCCACATCAAGGAGGGCTAAGGGTGCTGGGGGAGTAGGTGGATGAGACCAAAGCAAAAGGAGCGGGGGAGGGGAGGACAGAACGGGGTGGGGGTACCCACTAAGGCTGGGCTAGGCCAGCCTGCCTGGGCAGCACGGTCCCCCAGCAGCCCAACTGACCCAGGCAGGCTTGCCCATGCCCAAGCTAACCCTCCCTGGGGCCTGGTGAATCAGAGAGGGCTGCCCCGGCCCCCCTAACCTCAGAAATGGGAGAGGGGATGGGCCCTGCTGCTCACTATACCCAGGGGCTGGCCCCATGACACCATGCACTTGTCCCAGAAAAGAAAGTCTTTCCTGATAATTTGATCCAGGCCTTCATACACCTGAAAAAGGGGGAAACCTGCTACCCTGCCCCCCCACTCCCGCCCAACACACGCACATACACTTGCCCTGCACCCCTTTCCAGATGGACTGAGCCACCTTTGTGACATCACATGATTCTGCAGACAATCACCCAGTACTGAAGCCCTAGCGCTCTATGGGTGGTACGGGGCAGTCTGGACTCCACAGGACAGGGCTAATTCCCTTGAATACAGAAGGCCCCTGATGCCCCAGTAGTGCCATGGACAGTTTAATTAACAAAGCCAATTTCGAGGCTATGCTAGACCCGGCTGCCGGTCAGGAGCAAGCGAGGGCAGTCCCGCCTCAGCCTCTACCTGGACACAACGAGGGCTCCAGGGAGGTCTCAGGAAGGGGCAGGGACTTCGGCAGGTGCCAAGGTCCAGGTTCCCTGGAGCTGCAGCTACCAGAGAGCCCGAAGCAGCCCGAGGCCATCGAGGAAGGTGGCGCCAGCACTGCTGCGCTCTCGTTCCCCAGGAAGCTGTGGAGCGTGGTGGAGAACGAGGCCTTCAAGTCCGTAGGCTGGAACGAGGATGGGGACGCCGTGGTCATTCAGGTGGACCTCTTCCAGAGGGAGATGCTTGACCAGAGAGACCCACAGAGGATTTTTGAAGCAGACGACCTGAAGAGTTTCACTGACCAACTTCGTCTGTATGGCTTCAGACAGATCCGTGCACCAGGCTCCCAGGTTCAGCCCTGGGGGGCCGAGAGGATGATGGTAAAGTAGAAAGTGGGTCCCTGCTTCTTCCCCCCACCCACAGCACCCAGATCAAACCATTGTTCTGCAAGGGCTGAATCTCCAAGGCTGAATCTTTTAGGGTTAGACATTGTGTACCAAGGGACGAAAGATAAAGGCTGAGGGCACAGCCACTGTCACACAGATGCACCACCACTACAGTAAAGCCTCGGAGGATGAGTGAGCTGTTCTGTGAGTGTTCTGCAAGATGAGCAAACATTTCTAGTAAGGTTCAACTGAGTAAGTGAGCGGTGTCTAGAATGTCACATGACCACAATTGAGCCAATGGTGGTCGTGACCCGAGTCACCCTCTCTCTCTCTCCCTCTCCCGGTCTCATTGTGAGCAACTGTCTCCCAAAAGCAAGTGGTTATGGAGGAGATCTCTGCATCTCTGCATTGAAGGAGGACAAGAGGTGGAACAGTGCCCCACCTCAAATGACATTAGCGAGATGCATCAAATGTGGGAAACACTGCAAACTTTTGTAGAAAACCACCCCCCAAGTAAGGCTTTAGCAGTGCAAGTAATGAATCGGTTTCATGACAATGCCATGTCACATTTCCATGAAACCTTCAAAAGCAGGCAAAAGCAAATGTCATTGGGTAGGTGTTAAAGTTGCATGAAAAGAGATTCGGCTGCACCAGTAGATGGCAGCAGTTCTGATGGTGACAGCGAAAGTCGCCCTGCACAAGAGCCCTCCTCTCTCATCTCCCTCACCCCAGCCACAAAGGTCTGCAAAGCTAAGTGTAGGTTCACTTACTTTTCTTTACATTTTGTACTTTATTATTTTCTTTTGCATTATAGTACCATAATCATTTTGCATGAATATTTTTGCATCATGGAATGAACCATCTGAGTTTCTATTAATTTCTAATGGGGAAATTTGCTTTGCTATGCAAGTGTTTTGGATTGCAAGCATGTTTCCAGAAGGTGTTATGCCTGCAAACCAAGTTTTACTACGTCTTTAGGAAGTCATCTTGTAGGGTACAGTGACCCCTGCCAGCAATAAGTTATGTTCCCTATTGCTACAAGGTAACAGTTATCTGTCTTGGGGGTGGGGGTGCATTTTGTTCCAGTATGGCTGAAATACTCTGTTTGGTTTCAGACGTACCACAACTCCAACTTTCAGAGAGGCAAGCCCGAGCTCCTTGAGAACATTTGGAGGAAAGGAGACCTCCGAAACCCTGCTTGGCAAGGAACCTGTGAACCGATTCTACTGAGGAAGCCCGCCTGGCAAGTAATAGATGATCCGAAGAAGGAAAAGAAGCCGGTAGCCACCAGACACTCCCCACGATTCCCCAAGGCATGGAGGAAGGCACGGAAGGAGGCCTCCCTAGCGAGGGGCAGCAGAGGCCAGAAGCCCACGGTGTACTCCGGCGTGTGGGCTATGAAAAGTATCACAGCAGGGCAAGGCATGAGCACCCCGTCACCTCAGGCGCCAAGGGGCTGCAGTGGGGAGGGCACCCCTAGGCATGCCACGTCCACAGCTCCAGGTGCCGACGCAGTGACAGGCGAGGACACGGAGGCCAGCAGCTCCTCGGCTTACCGCAATCACTGCAGTCTGATGACTCTCTACAACACCTGCTATTCCATCGCGCTGACCGCCCTCTCCGCCAAGACCCCAGATGAGCAGTCTGACGAGGAGGAGCAGGAGGGCTCCTCAGACTACAAGACCGTGCTGTGTGAGCGGGTGAGGGACATGCCACCGCAGTGAGCTCACCTGCTGGTGACGCCAGGCGACGCCATTCCCAGGAGGCTACCTGCCTCCAGTCTTAATAAAGAGGAGCTGTGCCCTGGGGGGAAATAAAGGACAGACCTTAGAGTCCCACTCGTGTTCTTTCTAACCCTCCACACTCGTCATGCGTCACGGCTGAGACACACTGTGGTCCGTGCTGTCCTCTTCCTCCTGAAGCAGCGGCACTGTCCCGGCTCTGCACGGGATTCTGCTGGCCAGTTTGGAGGATGAGGCCAGATCTGGTCCTCTGAGAGCCGGCTGCCGACCTGGGGGTACTGCAGTGCACTATTCAGCTGCTGTGTGGGGGTGGGGGTGCATACTACTGGACACCCCACATCCTTTTTCATTCTGAGACAGCATCATGCTAAATTGCTGAGGCTAGGCCCCAATCCTCCGGCCTCGGCCTCCTGCAGTGCTGGGATCTGGGGAGGGCACCACCACATCCAGCTGATTAAGGTATCTTGAAACAGGAGATTCTTTCCTTGTGGCTCCCCTGTCCAGGATGCTGCTGGAAGTTCCCACCCAGTAGCTGAGCTTCGCGGGCCCCACATCCCACATCCCCGCAGAGGCACCCCTCTAAGCCAGGCTGGCCCCCCACCAGGGGCGGTCAGCTACCACCTCAGCTTCTCACTAGCCGGTCATTCCAGGACTCCACAAGGGAAAAAGCCCTAATATTCACGCCAACCAGCAGAAAGCATTCCTAATGCTGCAGGCAGTAGAAACTGTTGAGAACCTGACAAAGAACATGGTCTATCTCTCCTCTAGACAGCTGCGCGCTATCACAGCAGTGCATAGGATCACTTGTCAGACACCAAGTAGCTGCGTGACACACAGGCTTCATGGCCCCAGGGACACTTTCTCTAGGGATGAAGGTAAAGCAAAAGGTCAGGTGGCTGCTCCCATTCTGTCTGATATTCCGCCCACCCTGAAGCGTCAGGTAAATCAAGTCACTCACCAGCAAAATTCAGCACCTGGTCTCAGACCACCCGCAACTTGTCCCTGACACCACTCAAATGTTTCCTGAACTGTGACTAAAACAAAGGGCAGGGGACACACAAAGGAGCCTGAACACCAAAGATGATCACGGACACATTTATTTGTACAGTCTGCAAAGCAGCACACCAAAGTCAGTGGAAACGAGAAGACCCTCCTGCGTGTGAAAGTCAGGTACTTGACACTCTGTCCTTGAGCCCAAGAGACACCCTGAAGGCAGGTCCTGGCCGAGACTCTCTTCACCTGGGGAAAGAAGTCTGTGCCCAAGAACAGTCCTGAGCGGGCAGCACCACCCAGGGCAGGGGCGATTCATGATGATTTCCCAGGTCTGCACCATCATGAAGGAAGCTTGGTCTGCTTCAGTTGGCCTCTCAGTGATGCTCCTGCCTGCAGCCCCCAAGAGTCACAGCTCCGGCCCCAGAGGGATCAGGTGCTCCGGGATGTCCACCTGGAATACATCCTTCCCCCCTCTCCTCGGGAAGGGCTGCAGTAACCACCTGGGGTTGGAAATCACAGTCAGGTACTTCTGCGTCAGGTTGGTCAGGACAGCTTGATTTTCCAGCCCCTCAACCTCCTCAGGGGCTAAGTCATCTGGGCACAGCCAAGTCTCCCCGATGTCAATGAGCCCTGAGAACACAGAGGAATGCACAGCTGGTGTCTCCACTGTGAACCAGGGCCTGCCTGTGTGCCAGGTCCCTTGGGGCGACCACTGCTGGAGACAGGATATCATCCAAAGAACATGAGCATGCTCACTTCGTCTCACTGTACACTGGTCACTGTGTGACCCTAAGTGAGGCACAGAGAGGGCTCCAGAAATGAAGAGCATCAGGCCTTGTCCTTAAGAAAGCCACACAAGGGGCGGGCAAGTCACAGGGATGCTGCTCAGGGTGGCGGGGGCATACTGGGAGGGCCTCTGGGGAGACTACGGCCACTGAGACAGCTGGGCAGGCCATCAAGTGACAGGGTGTAATGCAGTACCTCAGTCAGCAAGGGATGAGTGGACTTCTCCTGGGTGTGGTGGGCAGAGGCCACCAGACAGGCCTGTGGAGTGAGGAAGGTGGCATGGCTCCAATTAGCACTGTGCCATGTGGCCTCTCTTGGACGCTGTCTCATGTGCATGACTGCTGTGTATGGGCGTGTACACAGGGTCCCAGCCCATAGCACACACAGGAAGCAAGGCCAAATAGAGAAATGAATTTCCAGAGCTAGGGCGAGTACAGACGTGCCCCGCCCCTGCACACCCAGCGCTCTCTGTGGCTGGGTAGATGGATGCAGTGCAGGCCAATGCACCAAATGTGTTACCTGCGCACAGGAAACAGAAGCCTGGGGCCTGGCACCACCCCAGCCCCGGGAGGACGGTGGGCTCAGCCTCGCTGACCTGCGATCACACCGCGTCCAAACTGCTCCCCTTCCTGGAGCAAGGCCTCAACCTGCGCAGGGCTCATCCCCAGCCTCTCCACCAGCAGCTGCCACCAGCTGTCATCTTCCCAGTCCCTGTGAGCGATGTGGATGGCGATGGTCTGGTGCTTGTGGGTGCTTAGCAAGGGACGCCACCGGGTCTCCAGGGTTTTGACTCCATTTAAGACAAATCCGGCGTACGGCTGCCTAAAGGAGAGGCAGCCGAACTTCATCAGCCTTGGCTGCGGGACTGAACACAGAAGCACAGCGCATGCATGTCAGGCTCGTGGGCAGCAAGCCCAGCCTCCCCACAGCACCCCCCCCCCGGGTGCCCTGCCACCCCACCCTGCCGCCCTCCCACCTGTCACCTCGCTCCCTGCCCCCCTGCCCCCCCCACGGACCCAAAGGCCTGGGGCTAGAGTAGAAGTGACTGAGCACCACTGGGAGGCTCAGGCAAAAGCGGGGACAAGTAGACAGGTGCGGGCCAGACAAGGCGTGCCCGGTGTTATTAGTCAGGCCCCAGAGACAAGTGGGCTGACTTTGCCAGGAGGGGAGCAGGGCTCTGCTGCTGTTCTTGCCGGCCCTGTTGCTCCCCCTGCCCACCGATCTCAGCCTCCTAGCCTTGCCAGTCGCAGTCTGGGTTGGACCTCAGGGCGGCGGAGCACAGATCCGTGGCACCCTGGCCCAGCCCCACTGACATTGCACTAGGGACCTCCAGTGCCCCAGCAGTGACTCTTCCAGCTCAGGCGAGTGTCACTCTCCTCAGATACCACCCCCCCACCAACTGCACTTGGCACAGAGAAAGGAACGATGGGATCAGGAATATTGACCCCAAGGTTGTGTGCCAGGCACCAGGATGGTCATGATTCTCAGGTGACCAAACTGAATCTTCAAATGACCCGGCAGGGTCACTACCAGTGCTAGGTGTCCTGTAGGGCTGAGATGACACCATCCTGCTTATGGCCCTCCTGCCTTCGCTGGTCCCTTGGGTGAGGGTGAAACAGAGGGGAGGGGAAAGAAGAGGAGGGGAGGTGGAGGGGAAGGAGAGAAGAAGGGCGACCTCCCTGGGTGGAAGGCTGGGCTGTGCAGCTGTCCCACGGGAAGAGCTGGTACCCTGCCAGGACAGCCACAGACTTGAGGCCATAACCTTGGTTCGCTTTCAGCTATCACCCAGCCTCAGCCATCAGGTGGCTTCAGTGTCTAGGAGGCTAAGGACTGAGAACAAGATGTAGCAGAGCCCAGCCCAGCGCTACACCAGGAAGGACAGCATCATCACCACCAGCAGCCACTCGGCTGCTGCTGTGACAGGGTCCCCCGGGGCCCCACCATTGCTATGCTGCCCACTGGGGCTGTCCCTGCTCTCTATCAGCTCAGCCTCCAGGATGACCTGTGGTGTCAGGAAAACTAGCCCATTCCCCAGGACACAGCCTGGCAAGCCCTGAATCCCAGGGCGCCTGCCTTCCCCATGCTGGGGACTTGTCTCCTGCTCGGCTCTCCACCTCCGTCAGGCACCAGGGGTTCCCACTCAGCATCACCACTTCCCTCTCTACTTTGAGACCCAGAACCTATGCCATCCACGTGCCCTCTACTCCACTGTCACCGCACCCTGCAGCCATACAGACCTTCTTTCTTCTGGGAACTCACTTCCTCGCTCCTGCCCTGGGGTCTCTGTCAAGGGTAAGAGGGGCACTGCTTCCCATCAGATCCCTGTGTGTGAACTGTGTGTGGTGGCACAGGCCTGTGATCGCAGCACTCAGGAGGCTGAGGCAGGAGAATCACTTCAAGTTTGAGGCCAGCCTGGGGGACACAATGGCCAGCCACAAGGACATAGCGAGACTCTGCATCAAATAAACAAAAAAAAATTCCTATTTTCATCTGCTTATCCCAGGCCCTGAGAATGTGACCCTACATATGAAGAAAGGGACTCCACGAAGGTAATCAAGGCAAAATGAAGCCATTCAGGGGGCCAGCATCCCGAATGAGCCTGGTTGTCTAAAAGGGGGGACTTAGGGTCAGACAGGCATCCCAGAAGAGGATCATGTGAACACCAAGGCAGAGAACACTGACGCTTGTTCCAGTCAAGAACTGCCAGCCAAACACCAAAAGCTACGAGGAAGGGACAGGGCAGAACTTTCTCACAGCCCACAGAAGAACGGACCGGGAGGGCTTAAGGACTAGATCCAGACTTCCAGCCCACGAAATGGGAGACGCTATGCTCCTGGTCTTTTAGTCACTGTTACAGCCACCTGGGAAAAACTCGCAGGCTTGGGCTGTCCCCTGAACATCGCCACAGGACACAGCCTGGGCTGCCCACTGCCTGGCACACGCGCAAGCCCTTCTGGCAGGCTCAGCTTCCTCTGCCTCTCTCCCCGTGGCCTCAGCGGCACCCCTAGTTAGCCGCCCCACAATCCACCTAAGCACTGTCCCGCTGAGGGGCAGTCGTACGGTCCTTCCCGCTGTGTGCCACCAGAGACCCTATCACCACCAACACTCGAGTGCGATGACGGGTGAGAGGGTGCCCGCGTCGGAGGGCGCCCCCCAAAGACAACCTGCCTGCCAGGGTCCCTCTTCCTCCGAGCTGTGAAGGCATCAAGCCTCATCCTTCTGCTGATGGGGACAAAGCGTGGCCCCTCCCCTCTGATCTGCAGGGACACTGAAGCGGGCCTTGCCACCTCTATTTCTCCCACCAGGCGCGTGGGCAGAATGGAGGTTCGCCTGCTCTGCACCACCGGGTTTCTTATGCCAACATTTGGCTAATCAATTCCGCAGCGGAACCGCGGGGTAAAACGGTAGGAGTGAGCAAGACGCCGTCCCGCCCGGTGCTGCACTGCAGTTCCTGCCCCGCGTCTTGAGAAGGAACAGCCTTCCGGTGACCCCCCCACCCTGGACTCTTCACCTGCACAAGGGCAGGGAGGCAGGAGACAAGGTCGGGTGCCAGGCAGCAGCGTTGGCAGATGGCTGCAGGAAGGCCTTCCCTATTCAGCACACAGCGGAAACAGACAAAAGGCAGGAGTGAGGCTCACAGGAACCCTGCAGCCCTAACTCAGGGCTCGGCTCTGCAGAACTCGCCAGGGGTACCCAAGGCCCTCTGACTTGCGCGCACTGCGCAGACTCCGCCCCCGACAGCGGCTGGGAATGTCCTCCGCATGCCTGTGTCGCGGGGACGACTCCGGAGTGCGGACGACAAGCTTAGGCGCTCCCATGAGGCAAAGAGATTGCCGCAGAGTGCGACCAGGTCGCGTCGCGATGGTGCTGCCTCTGCTGTAGCCTTCTGGGGCTGGCGGGTCATTAACCACAATTCTCAGGCATTAACTCTTCTGCCTCGTCCTTGTCCGTGAGACCCCTTTTATGAAGGGCCCAGGTATGCAGTACGCACGCGTAAGTGCCCATCCCCCAAGCATGTAAATGCGCAGTGCGCAAGTGCATACTGAGTATCTGCCTATTAGCCAATCAGACCACAGGCAAGCAGGTACACTTTGGGGAGTAGGAAGTCAAGCACCTGCGCACAGTCGTTCACAGCCACCCGAGAAGAACTTTGGAGGCTGAGAGGGAAATAAGAGGAGAAATGAACCAGAAAAAAAGAGGAGGAAATGAACCAGAAAAACAGAGGAGAAGGAAGAGGCGGGATGAGAGCCACCTGCTACCTACTGGGGATGGGGTTGCCTGTCAGGGAGAAGGCCGGAATTTGGAGGCACAGGGCGGGGCCTCGTGAAAGCACCTGGGGAGGAATAGGGGGCGGGCCTTGAGGAGAGGGGCTTAGGAGGGTGGGGACTCTGTGAAAGTTCTCAGAGACAAATTGGAAGCTGGAGAGGGGAGGAGAGGCGGGACCTAGTGAAAGCAGCACAGATCGGGAGCTGGTCAGGGAAGGGCAGGGGCGGGGTCGAGTGAAGGCAATGAGAAAGGAGTTAAAGGCTTGGCTGGGGAGGGGACGGGGCCCAGTGAAGGTTTCCAAGGAGGATCAGGGAGTGGAGGAGGGGCAGGGCTGAGTGAAGGTAGTGTGGTAGTAGGGGTGGAGTGGGTAGGTGCTGGAGATGCTGAGGAAGCATTATGGGCGGAGCTGTGGGGAGGGGGCGGGGCAGTGAGTGCTGTAGCTTTATTAGGGTGGAGTGAGTAGAGGCCGGGGGTGCTAAGAACGCATTATGGGAGGGGCTGTGGAATAGGGGGCAGGGTCCCTGAGTGCTGTGGTGTAATTGGAAGCAGGGCTGTGGTGAGGCAGGGTGGAGCTGAGTGCTGACACAGCGTTATGCGCGGGGTTGTGGGTGGGGGCGGGGCAGTAAATGCTGTAGTGTTATTGGGTTGGAGTGGGTAGGGGCTGGGGGTGCTGAGAAAGCATTATGGGCGGGGCTGTGGGGTGGGGGAGGGGCTCTGTGTGCTGTGGTGTAATTGGTAGGCCAGGGAGGGGCTGAGAGTGCCCAGACAGCGTCATGGGCGTGGCTGTAGAGTAGCAGTGGAGGGGCTGCCAGGGAGGGGCGGGACCTGTTATTCTGGCCATGGAGGGGTTAAGGCCAGGACTGGGGAGAGGGGCGGGTCTGTGTGAAAGGCGAGGAGCCGGGGAGGGGAGGGCGGGCCCTGGGCCTTGTGAAAGCAGTGTGGAAGGACTTAACCGCTGGTTTGGGAGGGGCCTGGGCAATGTGAAATTTCCCAAGGAGGAGCTCAGGAGTGGGCAGGCAAGAGGGTGTGAACCTGGCAAGGGAGGAGTTGGAAGTGGGCAGGGGCTGGGCCGTGTGACACTTGAGGGATCTAGGGAGGAGAAGAGGGCGGAACCCAATGACCCTAGTGAGGGTATAGTTAGCTGCACGGCGGAGGGCGGTGTGGGGCCCTGTGAACCTGTTAACTGCTGGCCTGGGAAGGGGTTGGGGCTTTGTGAAATTTCCAAGTGAGGTGCAGGGAGCTGGACCTCACGCTTTAGCTGTCCTTTTCTGCCCGAGTTCCTAGAGGGTCGCGGAAACTCACAGACGACACAAGCAGGAAAAGCCTGGAGGGCAGCAGCAGTGTGCAGACTGGCTGTGCCCTTGGTGTCCCGATCCTCACCTGGTCCCTTCCCCATCCCCCGCCCCTCTTAGTCTTCTGGGCAGCTCCCATGGGGCCGTGCGCCCCCACCAAGGCCCAGATCCTGTGCTCACCGGAGAACTGCGCGCCTTTCCAGTCCAGACTGCGCTGTTCCGGTGGCAGAAGAAGCCGCAGCCCGCCCCGTGAGCCTGCAGAACGGCGGGTTCCTTGGACTCCATCGGGTGGGAGTGGTGTGGTCAGAGACCTTAGAAGGACAGCGAGGACCCTGCCGAGTTCCGTGGACTTATGCAACCGAAGCATTTCCCCGGCTTTACTGGGAGGAGGGGTTTCCTTTCTGTGTCTCCCCCTCGAGTGCACACCGGCTGGCAGTTCTGTCTTGTGTTTTTGCACAGGACCAGGTCGAACCCGTGTTCAGAAAGACTCCCAAGCCTCTCTGTGGTCGGGAGCCGCAGACAGCTCCCTGGAGTGGAGCATCTTGCTTGGGTCCAGTGACCGACTTGTCCACAGCCTCCTGAGGCTGGCTCTCAGGCGGAGCTTATGGAGACTGAGATACCGTGTCCCCGGCTTGTCCTGACCTCCCTGCCACTGCTGCCACTGCTCAGGACACAACATGGGGTTGCAGGTCCCTCAGGAAGGGTGGCGCGACCCTCGAAGTTTCTCCTCACCATGCTGCCGCAGTGTCCCTTCCTCCTGGGGACCCAGCCTCTGCTCCAGTCAGGGGGTCCAGCTCTGCAGCCCGGCTGAGGGGCAGAAGCAGGGCAGGGATGCTGACCGATGGTTGGGGTAGCAGTGCTCAGCCTCCAGATCCCCAGCCTAGCCCTCTCGGAGGTCCACTTTGAGCTGTCCTGTGATGGCATGTCTTCTCTGTGCCCCTAGCGTGGCCCTGTGGTCCCAAGGTTTCTGTTGTCCCACTCTCAGTGGCATCTGGTCCTTTGGCTGGCCTTCAGCTGCCCAGCACTGTTTACCACCACCCTGGCCTCTACTCCATCCACTGCTGCAGAGGAAGAAGAGGAGGAGGTGGTGAGGTGGGAGCCTCACACCCGTTCCCAGGGAGCCGGGCTCTGGAGTGGCCTCCTCTGCCCTCAGGCTGGCCTGCCTAAAGCCCTTCTCCTGCTCGCCCTATGTCCTCTGGGCCCTCTCAGGGAGTACTGTCCCTGCCTCCTGAGAAGGTTCAAGCCTCACCTCACCTGTCCCATGGAGGGCCCCTTTGGTGTCCTGGGGGTCTGTCCAGGCTGCTGGCTAGGGACCTTTGTTCTTTATAGGCTTCAGGACTTCCCTGTGGCGAGGCTGCATGCCTCAGGCCTTCTGGGGCGTTAAGTTCTGTTTCCTAGTGGGGTGCTCAAGTTCCTCATCTGTAGACCCCTTGGTGGCACTGTGGGACCCCCTTCCACGAGGCCCATCCCATCCTGCCACCATGTGCCTGCTGCCCCTGCTTGACCTTGGGTGTCCTCCCTCTGCTCCCTCAGCAGGCCTGGCTGCACCCTGGCTGTGCAGCGGGGTTCTGTGCTATGCTGCAAGGTCACCCTGGTCGGGGCCTGGCGACAGGCTCTCTCCAGCTCTTCCTGCTCAGCCTGGCACTGTCCTAGGTATAGTGCTGTGAGTCTCAGAGACAAGTGACACAGATCAGTCACTGTTCCTGCAGTGGAGACAGGCGAGGCAGCTTCTGAGAGGGGCACCCTTGTGTGTAACTTCTTCTCCCATGGGAGTGGGTGGGTGCTTTTGGGGTCAGGACTACAGCAGGCTCAGAAGTTTCAGAGGAGATGGAGGTTTCCTCTGCATGTCCCCACTCCCTGCATGCAGGACTTGGGGCTCCCCACAGGGCCCCCATTGCTCTGAGTGTCTGCCCATTGTAAAGGTCGGCACCCAAATCACAGCCTGTGCCTCATCATCAGTGCCCTCTGCTTGTCTGCCTGACCTGTAGGGGTCAGTGCCCTGAGCCCAGGAGAGCTGGCCTTGTATCTGTTAAAGGGCCTCAGCCTCCTATCTACTCCTGCGGGTCACCGGAGCCCATCAGTCACAGCTACCCAATCCCACTGGGCTGAGAGTCGGTTTGCCTCCCCGAACAGGGCAGCCACCCTTAGGCAGCTCCTCTCTGGGAGCCAGGCCTCCTGCCACAGACCCCACAAAGAGGTCTCCAGTGGCCTGTGGCCTACTCGCCCTCCCCACGAAGGGAGCCTTACTATCAGCTGGCGGATGAAGGTTTACCCCGACTCCAGCCCGTCACCTGCTTTCCTGGAGAGCTCTGGGGAACCAGAGTGTCAGACCAGGCCCCAGGAAGCAGAGTCAGTGATTTACTGGGGCTGACACCTGTGGGAGAGACGGGAAGGAAGCAGTGTTGGAAAGCAGGTCCGGCCCGAATTGCCAGTGTCACCCTGCCACACAGGCAGGAGTCACTGCCCACCTCGGGGCCCCGGAGAGCGGTGTGAGCCAAGCAGAGCAGCCCAGCAGCCCGCTTCCCTAGAAGGGCCACGCAGTGCTCAGCCTCAGGCTTCCTGGGAGCTGAGAGGAGCTCTGCCCCTCTGTGCACTGGAGACCTTTTCGGTATCATGGGTGGGCAGGCTTCAGGGCATTTGCTCCCAGGGCAGCTAAGCCTGGCCTGCCTGAGAGCGGAGCCAAAGACAGGGTGTCAGGAGGCCTCAGGCTGGGGTCAGCAGTGCTGTCCCGTTGGAGGCCCTGGGGGTGCAACTGGCCTCTAGTTACACAAGGGCTGCTGGGGGCAACTTCCCGCCCAGCCTGTGAACCCCCCAGCCTGACCAAGACCAGTGAGGTAGGCAACCATGACTCAGTAGCTGCTGACTCTGCTGAGGGTCTGTGGAAGCTCCCGGGGACTTGGGGTTGTTTTTAAGATTTGTAGGTGACAAAC